TGACAGTTGACTCAATTACTCTGTCCATCAAACCACTCAAGTTAGTTTGTACTAATAGAGTTTCGTTTTTATTTTTATTTTTTAATTTTATATTTTTACATCCTGCCCTTTGCCCCCTGTTCAGGTCTTTTTAAGTTTAGTTGTTTGTTTTCTTACTGTTGAGTTTAAAGAGTTCTTTGTGTAATTTGGATAATAGTTCTTTATCAAATGTATTTTTTGTAAATATTTTCTCTCAGTCTGTGGTTTATCTTATTGTCTTGACATTGTCTTTTGCAGAGTAGAAGTTTTTAATTTTAGTGAAGTCCAGCTTATCAACTATTTCTTTTGTGAATTGGGCCTTTGGTGTTGTATCTAAAAAGTCATTGTTGGCCAGGCACGGTGGTTCACACCTGTAATCCCAGCACTTTGGGAGGCCAAGGCAGAAGGATCATTCGAGCCCAGGAGTTTGAGACCAGCCTGGGTAACATAGTGAGACCTCTGTCCTACAAAATAATAAAAAGTCATTGTTATACCGAAGATCATCTAGATTTTCTCCTGTATTGTCTTTTATTAGTTGGATGTTCCAGCACCATTTGTTCAAAATACTGTCCTTTCTTTGTTGAAATGCCTTTGCTCCTGTGTCAAAGATTACTTGACTTTTCTCGTGTGGGTCTGTTTCTGGACTCTCTATTCTCTTCCATTTATCTATTTGTCTATTTCGTTTTTCAATAAATACCTGCCTTTGTTTTTACTGCATCCTAGTGACTTTACAACAGCCAGAGAGAAAGTACTTAAACCAAGTTCCCGCAGGAGAGTGGGAATGTTGGGGTATTGACTCTCAAGTGAGGTCCCAGAACTGAGCAGAAGGAAGGCAATGGAGGAGGGAGCCAGCCAGGCCCTCCATCCTTCCTGTCCTAGGCTGGGAGCCACAGATGCCCTTTAACCAGTCACTGCTCTCACCTGGGTCTTCCTCCACTAACTGTAATCTTTAGTCACCAAACAGGGAGCCTGGTGTCTTCTCACACCCCTCAGACCAGGACAGGTGACTGTTTTCCTCACTGCATGGTGATGAGAACATCTTCCATATGTCAGGGGGCTGTGTTTTGAAGCTCAGGCCTTATTTCAGGGGACAGTTGTGGATGGGGCCATAGTCGGAGCAGTTCCAGGAGGGCCTCTTTGTGATCTGTGGCGAAGTCTGCCTTGTAGCACTGGACCAAAGTCAGGAGGCACTGGTGCCAGAGAACAGGCAGCTCACAGCTCTCTGTCTGGAACCCCAGGAAGTGGAAGACCAGGGCATCCAGCACCCGGTAGGGCAGTGTGTACTTCTTATGCAGCAGCAGTCGCAGGAAGATGCTGTCAGCACCACCATATTCCATCTCAGCAATTTTCAGCATGACTGCAGTTTTCTCCAGTATCACACTGTCTTGATTATTGGACCTTTATAGTAACTCTTTTTTTTTTTTTTTGAGACGAGGTCTTGCTCTATCACCCAGGCTGGTATACAGTGGCCTATTTGTAGCTCACTGCAGCCTCAAACTCCTGAGCTCAAGCGATCCTCCTGCCTCAGCCTCCTGAGTAGCTGGGACTATAGGCACATACCACCACGCTTGGCTAATTTTTTTATTTGTAGAGATGAGGTCTTGGTGTGTTGCTTAGGCTGGTCTCAAATTCCTGGCCTCAAGCAATCCTTCTGCCTTCACCCCCCAAAGTGCTGGGGTTACAGCCCTGAGCCTTTGCCTGGCCTATAGTATAATAACTCTTGAACTTAGGTAAGGCCAATTCTTCAACTTTGTTCTTCCATTTCAACATTGTTTTGGCAATTCTGGGTCTTTTTTCTTTCCATATAAAGTTTAGAACCAGTTTGTTGAAATCCACAAAATAACTTGCTGGGATTTTAATTGGGGTAGATCAAGTTGGGAAGAACTGACATCTTTGACAGTATTGAGTCTTCCTCTCCGTGCCCATGGAATCTCTTTCCATTTATTTGTATCTCCAGCAATTCACTGAGCATTCATTGAAGGTTTACCATATGCCTACCCCTAGGGCAGAAAACTGAGGATAAACCATTTTTATATTTTATTATCCTTTAACTTAGTTGTTTGGCACAGGGAATTTATAATGTTTCTGGCTGAGAGTTCATTTCCTTTCACTAGAAAAGGAAGATAATAAGGTGAACCTTTGTTCTTTCACAGTACATTAGTAATATATTAACCTTTTTTTCTAGAATCAAAAAAAAAAAGTAGTTTAGCCCTTGTATCCTTAGAGAATTCTCTTGAAGTTTCCAAGTCTTTAAACTTCTGCTTCTTTCCTATCTTGATATGTCAGTATAAGACACAACTTAATTTGATACATATCAGCTTTGCTTTCATCTAGTGGAGTAATTTTTTTTCAAGGAGCTTCCGAATAGACAGTGTCCCTTCTCTGCAGCCAGACAATAGAGTGAGCTATCTTACAGGCTTTCTCCCTGTGTAGACTGTGAATCTCGAGTCCAGATTGATTTATTATTGCCGTGATTATAATGGAGGAAGCATTCCCCTATAAAAATACTTTGTAATTTAACCAGTGTACTGCCTACCCCAAATTGATTGCAGTCTTAAGTGTCAGAATTTTCATTGTAGTAATACTCTTAATTGTTACTTTTTTCTAATAAAATACTATATACAATAAATAATGTTGACTGGTTTTCATTAGGTAGAATCAGAACCAAAAATACTGGCTGGGTGTGGTGGTTCACACCTGTAAGCACTTTGGAAGACCCAGGTGGGAGGATTGCTTGAGGCCAGGAGTTGGAGATTGCAGTGAGCTCTGATGATACCACTGCTCTCTAGCCTGAGTAACAGAGTGAGACCTTGATTCAAAAAAAGAATAAAAATACTGCTGGATGCAGTAGCATTTTCCTGTAGTCCTAACTACTTGGGAGGCTAAGGCAGGCGGATTGCTTGAGGCCAGCTTGGGCAACATAGCAGACCCCATCTCTAATAAAAAAAATTTTTTAAAGCTAAAAATACTCCAAAAACTATTACAGAGTATTGAAGTGGAAGTTAAGAGTGCTGGGTTCTATCCAACTCCATCATTACCTAATCTGACTATGGGCCTAGGTTTTCTGAACTTCTTTTTTTCATTTGTAAAACCAAAGAGTTAAGGTGATCCAACTCTAATAGTCTTCTAAGGCTAGAAAAAGAAAATGTTTTTGTCCATGTTGGAATATTTAAATAGATAAAAACCAGTCTGGTGTTAGCCTTTTTTGTTGGTAAGATTTTATTGTAATATAATTTCAAAGGTGAACAGAAATGTTGCAAGAATAGTAAAGGAATGCCTTTATACCTTTTATATAGTTTTGGCAAATTTTAACATTTTGCCCCCTTTGCTTTATTTCTCTCTCTCTGTGTATGCATATATATATAAATGCACTTTCTCTTTTTCTGAATCATTTAAGAATAAATTGGAAACATTATGCTCCCTTATGACAAAATATTTACATCTATGTTTACTAAGAACAAGGGCAATCTCTTATTTAACCATAGTACATTAATCAAAATTAGGAAATTTAACATTGATACAATATTATTATCTAACCCAGAGTCCATATTCAAATTGTCCATTTTCCCTCATGTACAAAAAGGAATTTCAGAATTGCTAAGCTATACTATTGTGAAAGGCAACCCTATTTA